TTGGAGCAAGTCATAAGGGAACCTATCATATGTGAGAGTCCCTTGGTGAAAGTTCGGACGGCGGAAACGTGTTTCCTCCGCAGTTTGGCTGCTACACGTATTCCATCCTTGTCCGTGGACTTGGAGTGTTTGGCTGACTCCTTGCTCCCTGCGCGCGCGCGAGTCTGCGTGCTGACTGTGTTCGGTTTCCCTATATGTAGGTCCGTTTACGTGTGCGTGGGTGTCTCAGCGCATGAGTTGTTGCGACGCTCACTAGACGGTACAGACAATCGATGTCCGATGAGTCAGCTTGATGCGACGTGGTTTGCGAGTATGAGAAAAAAGACAAGCCTCGTGATCCAGTGAGCGAATGTGAGCTGAACGGTCAAGCATGTGGGTGATTGAGTGGCTACAGATCACGTATTCTACTTCTCACTAATAATATGACGTCTTGAGGGAACACAAAACTCAGCATTACCACATTACTGGTACTTCTTAGAATATACTCATAGGTGTCACATCGAACCAACAGGCGCTATCAAATCCTTGGCCTATCGTTGGTGCCGCATCTAGTCATCGTCCTGTACGGAAGCACACTTGATCAAAGAACGGGGTTTAAATTTACCGTTCACTTACAACAACGGAAATAAGTTCGCAACAAAGGTATCTTTTTCACCCTCCTATCCTCATATACAGTGTCATACATCTTATGGACCTCTGAACCGTGTGACCCGTATTTTGCAACACGAGAGAACGAGAGTTAACATTTGCGGTCTGAGGGATGGCTTTATATGTAACATGCTACATGTTAGGCCAATATGGACAGATATTTCAGTGACTTCTTTGGTTCAGATCCATAACAGTGACAGCCGCTAGGTCGCATGGGTTAGGTGGTTGACTCATATATAAATATGAGGCATCAGTTGCATGGCACTGCATACACGTGACGTCACAGAGCCAGTATCGAGCCCGATGCATTGATAGAGAACTCCATTATGAGGGGAACAGGAGGGCCTGAACGCTGCACAGCTGCTAGGCCTCAACTCAGTCCACGATGTACACCGGTTGTTACGCTTTAGGGAACGAATTATTTCGTCCAGAACAGGCGTTCAGCACAGTTTAGCTTGGTCTAAGGCTTAATGCAATCAAGTCGCACTGGGCTTTGTGTTGTCCCCAGGCCCCATGTAACCTGGGGTTCCGTTAAGATCATGACTTACAGATGTAGATGAAAAGAACAACAGGAAGAAATTTGTCTCCTTGCGTTCCAACTATTTTCCCATTGAATATGAGTGACCTTCACACTGAGGTAAAATAATCACTGGCCACGTGATTTTGCCACGTACACTTTTCAGCTCAACCTCAACTGCACGGGTATGATCGAGAACTGAAATTCAACATGAAGCTAGCGTAATTCTTTGTTTAGTTGACTGTCAACTTTCAGCGTATTGGGAGTAAAATTACGCAAATCGCGTTCGTGGTGAGGGATAAAACTCTTCTTCCGACAGGAACCAAAAAGGTAGATATCCTATAGAAAATGGTAGAAAATGTACATTAGTAATTATTTGCCTAACTCCATCTCTGGGTTCTCGTGCTCGCATTGCAAATGTAATTTACACGCATCTCTCTGAAAGTTAGACTGAATAAATCCATTATAGCTTTGTAGAAGTCTTTATAACATTGGAGGTCCATGAGACTACATAGTTGCTGACTGTTTCGTTCCGTTGATGAGCACAGTTTATACCCGGACGTATTGTTCCGGTCAAAATCGATATCTAGATAGCTGAACTATACCGGTAAAAAGTCCTCTTCTTTAAATAGATCTAATTCAGTCGATCGAATATTCAAAACTTTTTGCGTTTCTGAAGATAGGCCCGAGTTGGCATGTATATGCTCCATGCGGGATCCTAATTTCAGTATGCACTCAAGGTTTCGAAACAAAACCAAGTCAAACAATGGCTGATAAGAGTAAGAGTCATACCTTTCGCGTCTTCAGGCCAGATATCATCGATTAATTCCCTATGCCAGAACTAGTGGTAACTGATGAAAAATGACTCAAGGTGGTTTGACAGCCATGGTTTGTTACGAAATACATCCAGTCTGGACCTAATTCTCATTATCCGACGCTTTCCTTTGCGTGTTGAAGTGGGATAAGTTATTTCCTTTTCCTATAGAACCGGTATTCGAGGAACAATCACGTCAGAAGTTTGATAATTGATTCGATAAATGGCATCCACACTGGTGCCCGAAATGTTCCAAAACACATCCAATAAACAACCTATCTGGAGGACAAAAGCGCCCCCTAGTTATGGAACATCCGTCATGTGGGGTTTTTATAGACGTACGCAGGGATGTCCATCGCACTCATCCTATGGAATGAATTTGTTGGTTATTCCCTTAATCAAGCATAGATGCTTATTTTTTTCAAAGACCTGTGAACGAATGTTGTCCAGAGCACTGTGTGTTCAGCACATTGTGTGATTGTAGAAGTCAACCAGCGATGCATTTTGAGACGCCTTACTTTTACCAGCTTCATCCGTACTGCGTCAGGAATCGCAAGGGCACCGAGGAACCGCCGACCATCATATTTAGTTCATCATCGGGATCTTTGATCCTAACGAGCTCACCACCCCATAACCAGGTCTTCGTAGAACGACGCAAAATAAAGGTCATTTATTGAGGTTCTACGGACCAGGCACATAATTTCTTGTCATCAATCGTCAGGCTGTCGTTCACACAAACCAACAAGAACTTTCAGCTCGAACTCAGTCTCTGAGGCATTGAACACCCCCCCTATAAATTGACATTGTTTCAAAAAAGCTAACTATTAACTGTACTGGTTGTACATTCGAATCTTCAAAGCCTGAGAGAAGTCAACGATATGACCTGTCCCGTAGTTGTATTGTGCAAGTGAGGACCCCAAGTTGCCTGTCGTTGTTATCAACCTGTTATCATCCGGAGCAACTTTTTCGTTAGTACTCTCGGGATCGGCTGAGAAGGATGGCACTGTTCCTTCCTTGCACTTCGTGCCTTTTTCCTGTTTTGATGAAGAACATACCTGACCTAAAACCCCCAGCAACCTGATTAACCTACGAGCTGGCTTTTGGAACACTGTCCAACAAACATCTTGACTTGTGTAGCTTACACACCAAAGTCACTCGCCTGATGACGAAAAGCCTGGTGCATAACTGAGCAGCTTAAGGAGGGGACCAAATGGCAGCTCCAGATGTATTTTTGGACTGATACTGATCCCTGAACACCACAGTCACCTACTAACGACCAAAGCCACTTACTGTCCGGCCTGTTTTGTCCATTCGTGTCTATTGGGTCGGACTGAGTAAGCTAGCTTTCTCGTCTCAGTGTTTAGCAGGCTTGGAGTGGATCGCGTTGGTTGTTGTGCACTCCACCGGTGCAAACATGCAGATCCAACAACTCCTTTAGGTTCGAAGTCTTTTAGCAGCTGATGCATACGCCGGACATAACAGTTCAGATTGCATTCTCTCCAACATTTTTCGCTGCTGATCTCAGTCGTGAGAGAACCTATACTGAAACGAACGAGAATGACTACATATTTCCTTGTTTAACAAACAAGGAAATATGTAGTCATTCTCGTTCGTTCGTGATTCGATGCTATAACGCGCTTAATCTGGCAAAAAGCACATCACAGTCACATCAGTTTGATCAAATGGATTTTAACTTTGAAAAAAAAAACATGGAGAATTTATGAGGGTTTTCGCGTTGCCCATTTGTCGGTGTGGAACAGTATGTGAACAGTCGGTAGACTCATTGCTGGGCGACGTTTCCTTTTTGACACAAAGGCTTCTCCAGGTCTAGGTTACGAGGTTGGTAGAGACTTAAGGCGCAAGGAGAACCAATCAACTAAGTCAAGTTGAAGTTGAGTTGGGTGCAGGTCAAGGGATTTTGTGTTAGCGGGAATCATCAGTTGATAAGGGAAACCTATATGGATTTGGGTCCAGCTTAGGGTCTAGTTCTTCCGGTTCGGCTGACGCGAAGATTTCTTTTGAGCGTCTTTTACACTTTTTGTCCGTGTGTGTGTGGATGAGATAGTGCTACGACAGTTGTGAATGGAAGTCGCAGAAATTTGGTCGGGTTGGGATTTCCATCCCCTTTTTTCTAATGATTCCACGCTAACTGACAACCTCACAGTCACGTGTCAACTCGGCTTATCTAAAGACCGTTATCCATACCCCCCCCAAGTCCAACCCTAGATTTTATTCACGCTTTTGATGCTTCGTAATTCGCACCGTCTCGGCTATTAGCCACTGTGATGTGAATCACAGTCCCTATCTTAAAGTCAACATTCTGCGGATCTGTTCTACGTCCAGTGTCTAACGGATGTACTGCCATGGCTGAGTCTTTGACGAATGCTCGGTGTTCATCCAAATTCCTTCGTTGTTTGTCTATCCCCTTTTCGTCCTCCACTCTTTTAGTAAGAAAATGCAAGCGAAATCAGCTTCTAGGAAGTTAGTAATACAGGAAGCATGCATCTCTGAAACACACAAGGGACTGCATTCTCCTCCATGTGCTATGTTAAACAAATAGTTCATTTTCCGCATATTCATTAGATCTATGATTGCAGGAAGTCCGAGGCTGACTCGCGTGGTTCCAGTTTGGCATCATCATCAAAGAAAGCAACATTGGTGTTGGCACTGATGCTTCACTGCCGCACAACCATAAGAATGAATGAACAAATATGAATGCATATGGATATGAATGAATGAATGAGAATGAATATGTCATGGAAGCACTGTGGAAAGAAACTGGCAGCACGAACGCCACTGACATCGATTAGCCGTCATTTCTTGCAACGTTTCCAGACAAGCATAGACGGGGTCACGGGATTCCATCCTGGAAGGCGTACAACAGCAACAACACACAAACTCTTCGTGATCTCTTTCACACCTTTCTGCCAAGTCATGTGCTGTCCACCTCGCGGTTTGCACCATCCTGAACCAACAAATCTGACAGCCTGATGCATTCACGACCAGATGTAGAAGATGAGATTTGCAAGAACATATCTAGAAGTGAAATAATGGCGAACCAACATGGTCTATAATGTCAAAATATCTTTTAAGATGAAGAATCAACCACTTTCCGTAGACAGCAAATAAAGTGAGATCACAGCAAGTGACTTCACAAACATCTGGCAGCGGGAATATCGTATGTACATATTCGACGTATTCAACGATGAGGAAAATGAGCAAAGGTAGAATGGAATGAAACTTGGTGGATGAGAGAGTATGAAGGGAAGGCGTATGTAGTGGACCATATGAGGGAATTGAGGGTATTCGGTATCCTTTGAGTGAGAGAAACCGAGAAGAATAGACCACGTAGGTGAACACAAACTGATGTTCGTATGATCAGTGAAAAAAACAAGTATCAAAACCCCTGGGAACGCAGTGAAGTGATGGGCATAGATCTAGCACATGATTCACGATTGTAAACAACGTTCCTATGACAAGTAGACCCTCCGTTGGAGCGGTGCGAAAATAAGAAAAAAAAAGCTATTCTTGTATATGATACAGAAAAATGGCGTAGGGAATGTTATGAAACAAACAGATGCACTGGCCCGAAAATACTATGTAGAAAAAAACCCCCACTGAATTCGTGGAATTTTCAGTCATTTGTCCCTGAAGAGTAGTACGGCGGTGGTGGATCCTCGTGTTCGATGGAAGAAAAGTATGGCGTCAGATCTACTTGGACCTGCATTGATGAACCAGATGGCGGAGTTTGTGAAAGCAGGTTGGGGTCTGTCCGAGTTGATACTCTGGGTAGAGTGGTGTGTGGACCGAAGAATATTTCGTCTGAAATGATCCAAGAAGCTAACAGTTAGATCGGTAGACGTTTGTGGATGAAAAGTGTAGGTCACAATCGAATTGTGAATCACACCGAAGGAAGCAACAATAGAAATATGACTGACTGTTTCACGGCCCAGTACGCCACCAGGGTGTACGTACCTGTCATGAATAAGGCAATGTTGTATGAGAAAAACCCGTTTTGGTCAATAAGCGGTGGGGAGCGAGCAACAAGTGTCACCAGGATGCGACGGATTAGTCTGTCCTCCATAAAATGCTGTCGAAGCCCAGGGATGGCATCCTAATCAAATCTGCTTGACTTGCCTTCAAATAAGGTAGTTCACCCGGGGTGTTCTAAGGATGGGGTGCGGACGGCTCTATCGAGTTGGGCTTTGTGTACAATCAGTCCCGGTGCCCCCGAGAGATAACACATCTTCTTCTGATAGGATCATACCAATGAAATATGAGGTGCTAGTTGCCGGGTGACTGGACATAACACACGACCACACGACATACTGAGCCTCCCACGTAATCTCATGTAACCCAAACGGTATGTGAACTACAACTGTGATTACCATCACCGAATATGATCACCATGTACTGGTTTAATTTTTCGAATATTTAGACTTTGAACTAGCATGGTAAACAATCGCCTTTCACTCAGTTCCCTCTCTTAGCCCTTAACCTTTAACGAGCGTATAGGATAACAAGCAAATGTAACACATACGCTTGCGGCCCTCAACAAACAAATACGCTGTACACAAGAGAATTATATATAGGGCCGTGGCTCCATCTCGCCTCATACCACGTGCGAGTTTTTGGGGACTACGAAGCGCCAATTTCAAGGAACAGAGATGTCGATAAGCGTTTCAGCGCTAGGTCCAAAGAAGCGCCTCTACACTGGATATCGACAGACACTGCTAAAACATGACGTCCCTGCGAAATGAATAAGAGACGAAACTTCACTTGTTTGTTGTTGCTCACCAACAAGACCCAACAGATTCATCCCAAGATAATTTTTACCAGCAGCTGCATTACCTTTTATGTAAAACAGTGATCGTGATCGTAGGTGAAGATCAAAATGCACGGGTTGGTCGTCTCCCTTTGAATGGGATTAGCTTGGATAGGGCATTCCAGTCTACCCATTAGGATAACCAATCCTAACCCAAAGCAAGTCTTCTGACTAAGTAAGCGCCGTTCAGCAAGTTGGCGCAGCTGCGACTCAAATGGACTTCAAAACAATGGGTTGAAGGTGGCGAGATAACCGTTTTGATTCGAAGTACGCATCAGTCTACGCGAAGGCATCGTTTAATTTTTGTGGTCTTATAAAGAAACAGTCAAGTTTTAAATGAAAGAGTTCGCGAAAGCTGCCAGAAGGAACCGGCAGTCAGGCTTGCTACTACCCGCGTCCTCCTTCGAAGACCAATATGGGTGTCAGGGCGTGCCCAGACAAGAAAAAGTACATGTGCAGAGAGTGACGCATCCCCAAGGTCACCATCGGTACGACGCGTCCGGAAAGTAGGTGAGTTGGCGGCACCCACGAAACACGGCTCTCACCAAACGGCTTAGCAACACACGACCAGCGTAGTGGGCATGAGAATGTTCACGACCGGAACATCACCGTTGACTGTACGGAGCGAACACGTGAACGGCCATATTTGGCCAAGTAGTCATCCTATATGTTTACGCAGACGCTCTGTACGTTTTGTCCTGGCAATACAGCCGTGTCCGCAGTTCTCTGTCTTCTCCTTATCGCGTAGTCTGGCAGGCGCAGTGCAGGCGTAACCCCAATAGCTCGGCCACCGCAAGATACAACACTGGGGAAGCCAGTCTCAACACCTGTCGCTGAACTCGACAACACATCAACCACGGGATCTCAGCCCATTCATTCAGAGACTTGATTCGCGCTGCCAGAAGATGATTTGAAGTGAACATAACTCATTGTGGAGACTATTCACAAAGTTGTCGAAAACTCTTCGACAGCTAACGACCGGCTTCGCCCATCTTGGGGCTCATCAGGTTGAAGTATCACCTTCTTTGTTTGGGATGCGAAGCTCGGTAAACTAAGCGCGTCGACAAAATGGAGTCTGCCTCTGTTTGCGGGAATCCGCGTATATTAATCCATCTCTTACACACTGCCTACACGTGCCGAGGGACTTGGTGTTAGCTAGGCAATCCATCAAATTGATAGCATGCACATACAAAACCTATATCAAGTGTTAGAATGATTAACCGAGGATTCCCAGTCGCACACAAGTTGGTTTCCAATTCAGTCGTCTCAGCCACTGCACTGGATGGTGCCTGCCAAATACTTCCAAGCAACAGTATTAGTAATTGTGTAGAGAATATATTGAACAGAATTGTCCGACGTTCCAACCATCAAGGGTGGCTACTATCTTGGAGCGAGAACTGAGCGTAAAGGGTTGCCAGAGAGGGGAGCTACAGACCGGTCAATGCTCTGTTATGTAGGCTGTAGTTGGTGTGAATTCTGTACGCATCCTGACAAGTTTTCTACACAATGTGTTGTGTTCACAGCTGAAACCTGACCTTCGGGTTGAACCACCCGGTCACGTGAAGTCTGTCTTTGTGAGTTTGACTAGACCGGTACAGATTGCAAATAACTCGACACACTATCAGGTCGGTTGACGCACGGTGTCGTGCGAATGACATGGGATTTGGCGCAGTACCTCTACGCAAAGACATCGAGATATGCACACTAATAACTCTCGTCTAGACAGTCTCTTGTGCTGGAGCAATTATGTTTGTAAGTCCACAGCGAGATTTTGCCGCAGGCTTGCATGTCACCCAAGCCGGCTCAGTAAGCCTCACCTAATGCATGGACTACGATAGCTGAGCCGCACTCCGGCACAAACACGCATAAAAAACCTCTGGACATGCATGAATCGCACACCAATGACACCCCATATAACTGAGCCTTGATTAGGCTTTAGGCACTTTTTGCTCTCTGTTACTGTCCTCTGACAAGTCGAACGGTCAATTTTTTCCATTCTAAGCCTTAATTGTGACCCCCCAGTATTCCTGTTACGAAACCTCTTTTAGAGTCCACCTCGGAGAGTTCCTAGAACGAAAGAAACCCACGAACTGCTACGAAATACAAAAAACACCAGGAAGCACAGTCCGAGACGAATTGAACTCAGTTGAGTTCAAAGAGATACGTTAGACGTATCTCTAGACGCTCCGTCTATTAAAGCTTGGGACGAAGAAAGAGCCCCTATTCGATAAAATGAATTATTCGTAGTCACTACTTTAGGAAGACTTTCGTAGCGTTTGTCCTAACTATCTGGGGATTCGTTTTCCATGCCCATCATTTCGTACAGGTTATGGAAGCTGCGAATTCGAGAACATGGGTGTCCGAATTGAATCTACGCCAGCTGGCAGAACGTCAATACACCAAAAACAGCCCCGAGATTGTGGAATTTCTCGGATTTCTAGCGAGTCACTATGAAGGATAGTTCAGTGAAAACCGGAGCGGGCGACCTTATGAAGGTCAGTATACAAGGAAAGTTTAGGCTTGCGGCCAGCTTTTGTCATCCTTTGTTGTGTGATAAGGCTGTTCCATATAGTCATACCCCTTGAACTTTACCGCAGACTTTACCACAGACAACGGCGTTACCTGTTGTTGGCAGACAAGGACTAGCAATGACCTAGCACGTGAAGTAACACGTTATGCTATGTGTTTTGCACCCTATTAGTGTGGAGTACTACTTAAGGCTAGTGGAATCTAAACTTGTGCTCGACCGGGCCGTTGAGAGGTTAGACATTAATAACAGCTTTGCCTAGAAAGCTGTACCACAGTTGGTGGTCCCATTGCAGAAGTGATGTTAGTATAGTTTCCAAAAGTGAAGGGTGGCTTTTGCTGAACTGAGACACCTGTGGAATTGATAGGACACGAAAAGCAGGACATACGACGCTACAGTTCGCGTCGTTTGGAACAGTGAGAGAGAGCAAGATAACAATGATGAAACAAGGCGTGTGTTGAATACTTCTAGCTGATGACTAAGCAATATCGTTTCAAGGCACTGAATCACTTGGCGTGATCCCCTGGGTTCTGTTCTCAAGCAATTGTTCCAATCGGGAAAGAAAAATAGGGTTAGAAACTGATGACCTGGTGTAGAGGTATGAAGAGACTCATAGAAAGTTTGGCTTCTGTGGGTCCAGCTCGCCTGCCGGGTTGAAGCCACGAGAACAATGGGTGTTATTGGAAAAATATACTTAGAAACTGCCAGCCGCCGACATTACTTTTCCCCAACTAGGGCCACTCGTGGGATCCAGTCAATATAGTTAAGGAATTTTCTCTTCAAGACTCTAACGGATATGGATAAAAACCTACCTAATGGATAAAACCTACCTAGTGGATAAAAACATACACTGGAGTGTAAAACGAATTAAATATTCCTTGCACCAATGCACCACTGCATGCCGGTAGCTGACGCATTGGGTAATGCTTGTCACATGGAAGGTACTGGTGAATGAACAGGTGAAAACTGACATATGCGGTCAGTGTGGGTTGGCCGAACGCTACTCCTGGTGTTGATTCACCTGGCAATCGTGAGACCGACAAAAGCTCATTCGTTCTTTTTGCGTCAGGTGCTCCGAATGAGCGGAGAGACTTATGAATAACCTCAGCACATTAGTTAGTTCAACTATAATGCGCTAACGTGGTCTTTGTCACTTCGAACATACTTGGACGGTAAAAGTATCTTGAAGCCAAGGTAGGTAGGACGTACACAATGAACAGTGGTCGACGCTGCTCAGTAGCTATCGATTGCTGTACAAAGTAGAATACCCCGACAAACTGGAATGGCTATCGGGTGCAGGTTCAACTGCAGTGGCTGGCATATGGTACAATTCTATGAAAAGTAGCATATTCCTTATCGAGAACTTGAGTCAGCAAATTACATTTCCGTTCGAATAAGTTCGCGTTTGCAGACACTTTTTTGCCAGGACGGGGAAGCTGCGCTATTTTTGAAGGTATTTTCCTTAAAAGGTTGCACTGACATTAGGTACAAAGTGTAGCTGACAATCTCTACAACTTATTATGGCCATTTTGGCGAATTTTATACTAGAAACAAGTGCAACGTGCCCCGAATCAGCTTGCTCTCAACAAATATAATTCATACAGGATTTTTTATGGAGCGACTTGGAACATGAAACCCTTGGTTCGCACAACACATTTTGCAGGTACTCGGTTCCATCGGGGTGTTTCGACGAAGTTGTCCGGGAAGATGATTGGAACATTTATTGGCTACTAACAAAGTAGTAAGTAGCGCAAAAATCATCGTGTACTATTTTGCAACACAGTAAGTGAGGGGACTCTGGATACGGATCCAGTGACGGTAGCCCAGCTATGGACGTACAGGTTGTCACATCATGGTTTTCATCATCGTACGAAATACTGCCCGGTTAAAAGGATCTACGGAGGGAAATAGTTCCCCGATCATCTTAGTCGTAAATACATGGAGTAATGGGTAATGGGCGAGTTGGAAACAAATACAGAGACCCAGATGCAGTGCTTCAACATTCGAATGAGATTCGAAGCAGAGTAGGGTTGTTTTTTCAAAAAGGCGGGGAAAACAGAGCACGATAGTCGTTGCGGTTGAGATAAAAACTAAGGTCGAGTCAACTGTCACAACACTGGCATGATATTGTCTACGATACCGTTATACATGGTCCGAATACTGAATTGTTCAAACACGCCTAGAGTGTGACTGCAGACGGGATATTAGTTAGGTGGTAGTCGTAAGTAATATCGAGACTGTGTAACACAACCGAAGTAATTGGTCTGTAACACGTTAGATTATCTCTCAAATTAAATTCGTTTTGGTCCGGAGACAATAAAGCAACAGTTTAGCCAAAACCTAGTTTTTAGCTCGGGTTCTTGGCCACAAAGATGAACTAAGTGGCCGAAAACCATTTCGTCTAGGTGAGAGTAGGCTATTATCCAAGGTTAAATGTCATACCCATGCAAAAGGCACCAGATATTTGTGGTACCATCCACTTCTCATAATTAATCCCCACAACGTCCGCTTCATCCAGTCAGGTGTACTTGAAAAGACATTTAACTGAATCGAACATCTGCATTTGATCATTCTCTCGCGTAACCACGATGGTCACCATCCAAAAGATTAGGCTCACTGGGAGATGAGTATCAGTTCTGAAGCTCTGTTACTCGGACCAGATCGAAATGAACTGTCACAGAAATATATTCGTGGCTTATCTTTCAAAAATGGTGGTGGTTGGACAAGCCGATATGACCGTCAGCTGTAAATAAGCCCGTCTAACGGTGTGATTAACAGCCTACAACTCATGTTTTGAAAGGAATGACGTGAGATTGTTTAGTGCTTCAGAAGTTGTGCGCACTATAATCACAGAAAATACACATAGTCTGTTGAACAAATGGCACGAATTGTAAAGTGATCTGCACGTCCGTACATTCGCTTCAACCTATCAGAGTGGTAATGGGCTTTGTTGGAATAGCTTATTGTGCTCAATCTCATTGGCCTCACTTTTCTTAATCCTTCTTCGATAGAAATTCCCGGTCCAGGTCAGTAAGCGGTTACTTGTCCTCGCACCTGACTGTATATGCAGTTCAAATCGAAACCGGACACCTAATCCGTACGGTGTGGATAAAATGTAGCCATTCGGCGTATTCACTAGTCTTCCGAGAAATGACACGGGTGGAGTAAGGATAAGTAGATAGATTTTGGTGAGTATTGAGTCGAATGGCGTAGAAAGGTCACTGATGGTCCTCGGTGAAGCTATGACGTGAAATACATCGCCAAATGTTCATTCAACTCTCCGTTTCAACGTACAACTCAATAAGTGTGCGCAAATCGGTTTTCCAGCCTATGAACACTTCTATTGAACGCTGCAGGCTAGAGAGGATGGGATAAGTGGTCCGAACCAGCGCTTATGGCAACACGGCCACCACTAGTGACAGTAGGCTGAATCGGGGAGACTAATATGAACGGCAGAAATACAGTATGAAGTGGATCATTAGCTAGGGGAGAACGAGCATAACCGAGTTAGGTAAACACGCTGCTGATAGCCTTCGAAATCGTGGAAGGCACAACTGAACAACCATGTTACGTACTGAGGGTGATTGGTAGGGTATAAGGTTGTTTTTGGGTAAATTTTGAAGTCTAAGAGAACAGTCGGACAGTTTGGATCCAGTCATTTGTAAACCTAGGATGAAAAGTCAGGTGTTGTGAGTCTGATGCTTCATAGGAAGAAATCTCTGCGTGTAAATGGGACAGAGGGCCGGATACTTCTACCGGAAAGAATGACGTAAGTGTTGATTCTTTTCTACTCTTATTCTGTACAAAGCGGTTCCCCGTTTTTGTTATTTCGGTTTGCGTCTATACCACCTTCCCTATTTTTAACACTGACATCGCACGCGTTGTTTAAGCCAACACGTGGTTTCGTTGCCTTGAGTGGGTGTGGATTTTGGGATCCGTTAGTAATTAGCAGGTCCCGGACCGGTGTATTGAAGCCGAAGTAGTCCCACGATTTAAGGTTTGTATTGTTTTATTATTTTATTATTGTATTTATAGTACTGCACTTGCAGATGAACCTCCATTTGAACGATTTGGCTATTGGAGTTCTGCGCGTGACTCAACGCGGTCCAACAAATTGCTGGAAACAATTTATAGCATGTAAACAAATCACAGTAATGTATGTAGATCACCGAGAAAATCTGAGCAAAAACCACACCAAAACGAAGAAAAACGAATGGCGAAATCTACCATCCTGCCGAGTTCGGTATACTAAGGCTCAACACGCAGTACCCACAGGCTATTTGGGCTGAAACGCCAAAGGCGGAGGATAACTATGAATAACTACCTGGGGAAATGACCGGGTTCCCCCTGTGGACAGTCTTTCCAAATTCCTGTTTGTGAACGGTGAAAAGAGGGCACACATGGAGCAGTGTGATACGAAAAGTTATATACCATATGATGACCTTTAATTCCGTTTTTCGGTGGCAACGTCAAGCGATACCGGAGAAAGTACTTCCACAGTTTCCGTCATCCCCATTCTACTTAAAAACAGGCCAAAAGCTTCTCGATCGATTGATCATGCATTTGACCAGTACAACTTTTTGTCTTCAATGAGTGACTGTCAACTCTTCACATCTTAACACAATGTGATACACGGGACGTACGTAATTTCCACGATGCTGATTCTGACAGTGACCAAAAGGATGAAACTGCCAATCAGATGGGGTTTTCTAATTAGATATGTACTCTCCAAAGCAAGATGTGTGGTGGATAAGGCACGACGCCGCTTGTGTTATCCATATCAAATGAAGCGGTTCGTAAAACAAAATGGAACACGATGTCTCATAGTACTGTGGACAACTTTTTACGCTTGAACAGCATACCTATGGCTGCGCGCACACCAACTACAACGTACCACAGAACGCAATAATACTCGCCCATCAAATGGCTCATGTACCGAACAAAGGCTGGTGCAGACAGAAAGGTGAGTTGCGCATGCATGTACATCCGTGAGCTTCAACCTATAGAGGAGTAGCTTGATTCGAATGCCAAATCAAGACTTGCTACAAATGTGGCATATCAAATAACGTGTGTTTTCAAGCAGATGAAATTTCCCACTTGGGGTAACACGGACGATATAATCCCATGCGCTGCCGAGTCGCATTTGTTGAATCTTCGATTGGTGGCTAGCTTGGTGGATTGCTATCCCTGCTGCCAAACTCCCAGGATTTCATGCATTAAACCTACATAACCGTCACTTACCGTCGGCCTAGAGACATTCAGTTGTACAAAATTTTAGCATATCGATTCTTCTGCCTGAACGCGCTAAGCTTCCCAGTGCCGCGGTGCATGAGACGGCCGAATTCGACAGAAGCACGCGGAAATAACGTGTCATCACAGCAATACTCCATCCCCCCAGCGATCTGCCCTCTGATACGAACATGAGGCTGTGCACGCCATTGTCAGACCATTCGCCTTTCTGTGGTGCAATCACCCCTCCCCTAGGATTGAATTCGGTTGGCCTTCTCAAAGCTGTTCGTAAATAGTTCTGGATACCAAACAGCTCTTTGGCGGAAATGCGAACTCCGTTTAGTATTGTCAAAGCCACTCACCTTTGAAATTCGGGCAAAACTGACTTGAGAGATGAGCCATCTGTGCAACGATCCGGTACAAACGTTCAGCTCATATTCATGGAGGTACAGCAATGAGACGTGCTACATGTGTATAATTGACGGGAAGCCTGCGAATATCATACTACGACTGGTATGGCGATGTGAAACAGAGAGAAGAGATCGCTTCTGCCTGAGTCGGGAAAATTTCTCACTCTGGGAAGAAACAAAACAACCACTATCGTCTGGATTACTTGACGTATTACGTCTGTGGACAAAGAAAAACACGTAGTGTGGCCAAACTTTGATGATAACGAATTTTTTCTGGGCAGTGGTTGATAAAATTTTAGTGTGAAAATTACTGTGTTTTGGATCGTAAGACTGTTTGCACCACGTTCCGATATTCGGTACACTTGTTTAACCCGAGTGGCAAAATCCCCACAATATGCCAGCGAAATGTGGCTCAGTCTATGGACGAAACGAGTGACTTGACTAGAGGTGAACTCAAAGAATAACTTTTAAGAATATCTACTTACCATCAATAGCTGGTCGATTTCGGTGTCCAAGATGTCGTGGCCCACTGAGGGATTGTGCACGTACATGAGGATCGACGGCAGGCCAAATACCTGGAGTTGAAGGTGGTCCAGCCTCATCGTCAAAGTTGCTCGAACCTCTTGTACCATACCGAACACTGGGTCGATCATAGCCGTAATTGATTGTTTGCGTTCGTCGTCTACGTCGACGAGAGTCAATCGCAAAGCCAGGTGAATGACGCAGATTGATCATTGATATAGGACTAACCGGGGCTGCCGTGGACGGCAAATGGGAGGACGGTGGAACACCACGGAATAAACGTCCGCCTACATTGAACAACTGTTCCATACGGGATATAAAGTGTGTTGGCGTTTCTAAGTCCTCCATATTAGCACTGGGCAACGATGGTTGCGAGCCGCCTTCAACCTGTAAGCCGTTAGGGGTCGTAGCAGGCAGGGTGATGTGTGAAAGACCTGAGGAAATACTAATTCCATCAACAGGTGAATGACGCTTAACTGGAGACAGACTGACAGGGAATCCAGCTAAGTAGGCCTCCAGTGGCAACCGTTTCCCGCGACCGTATATCTTCGTCATCAGATTGGCGACGGTGTCCAAACTGGGGTTGAGCATGTTATTCAGTGTGATGAACAACATTCTGGACATGTGAGATATAAAGATTATACAGAGAGGAGTCAGCTATAAAAAGTCACAGGAGAAAAGCTGCATGACTCAGTATATCAGTATCGGGAGTTTTCGAAAAAGTTTGGTGACAATCGGTAGATTTATGGCTGGGTAACGTTTCGCTTTTGACACAAAAGCTTCGTCAGGCCAAGTGACTAGGTTCCGAGGTTGGTCGAGATTTAAGGCGGAAGGAGAACCAATCAGCTAAGTCAAGCTAAATCTCTGTTGGGTGTCGGCCGAGGGATTTTAGTGTGTTAGAGTGGTTGAACAAGTGTTGGGTCGGTGGGGAAACCTACTTGTGTTTGGGTCCATCCAATGGTCTAGTTCTTCTGGTTCGGTTCATTTGATGGTTCCTCTTGAACTTCATTTGAACCTTCTGTCATTCTGTGTGGGTGAGCTAGTACTAGGAAAGTTGTGTAAGAGGGATGATGTGACCTTTGGTCGGTTGGGGTTTCCACCCCCACCCCTCGGTTTATTCTAATGATCCTAAGTGGATTGACAACCACACCGTCACGTGTCAACTCGGCTTATCTGAGACCGCTTTCCATACGCTCGCTAGCTACCCCGATTCTATTCACGTTGTGATGCTTAGTAATTTCCACCGCCTCGGCTATCAGCCGCTGTGGTGTGAATCGCAGTCCCCGTCTTAAAACTTCCACATTCTCCAGATCTATTCTATGTCCCGTGTCTGAGGCATGTACCGCCATCGCTGAGTCTTTGACCAGCGTTTGGTATTCTTCTGCATTCCTTGGTGGTTTGTTAATCCTTATTTTATGCTCACCAATTCTGGTGTGCAATTCTTTGCAGTTTGTCCTATATAAACCTTAGCGCAATCGTTGCAGTTACTTTTGTACACAGTCCCTAGTCCTTTCAGTCGGCAGGGAGTTGACCATTCTCAGTGAACAATTGTGTGTACGTCAACGGAGACCGAAAATGCGATTGATTGTCCGGAAACACTTGATCAAGAGGGTGTTATGTGTCAGAGTTACTTTGGAATTTCTCTCCTTCTAAACTTATACAAGACCTCAAACTCGTTGAGAAATTGGAGCGGCTTAGGAGGAAGTGCAACTGAACTGCCCGAGATGCAGTTTGGTTTGGTTGCACATTCAATAGCAGTATTCTGCAGAAGTTTCTGTGTAGTATCGTCGCTAGTTCGAACCGGACTCAAATGAAGTGTCAGACTCAGAGTGCGACTGTCGAACCAATTTCGATTTCATAGGCATACGTCTTTCCCAGTAGTGTGCGCTCGAATAGAAATCCATATCAGATTGGTAAGAAGCATATGACCGTACGTGCTGCGGAAAATCACGGCAAACTACCTGAAATAACAGATCTAAAGGCTTGTCGAACAATTTCCATGTCAAACCTTCAATAAAATGATAAATGAGCACTTAAATTGCTCGTGACACAAGGCACGATTTTTTTGCGTTTGAAACAACTGACGGGCCTCAGTGTCTCGATTTGATTGGTGAAATAACATCGTTTGGGTGCAGACTTGTCATATGTGCTGCATATCACAAACACGGACTGAAGCCTTGCTATGAATGATCGATTCAGTGGAGTCGAACCCAACGTGTTCACATTCTTACTGGGCAGATGCACCGTAACCTTTGCGCCAATAAACTGTCGCCACTGGGTGTCGACCAAGTGGCTGCTGATCTGTTCGCCGAGCCGGTCAATCGACTTGCAAACGTTTCATCGCCATACAACGGGATATCATCAGCGAGCAGGTCAACAGTCCAATAAACTCACCCGACAAATTACCAAACTGTCACCACTTTTATGGTAGAGATATGGATCAGGCATCGGATCCGAGGGCGCCCTCGAAGATCTTCAACTACATGGCAAAACATCCATTGGGCCACTGAGGCCGTTTAGCTGAGAGTCATTTCGATCGCTGTTCTTTTTCGATAGCTGTCCCTTTTGGATACTGAACAGGGTTTTTCTTACAAAACGTACGCTTTCCTTTCAAGCGACACCGCCATGGGTCGCGAACATCTCTGTTAGTAATAGCTCGAGGCCTAATTATTGGCCTTCTCATTCGGGGATACAGCGGAATTTCACGAAGAAAAAGCAGGATTCACAATAGTGGAAAAATCGACATTGCTACCTCACATGGGACTTACCTGGGCAGGAGCGCAGCTACCGTCGTAATTACAGTGAGAAGCCAGAAAGTACCGTCGTTCATGGCCACAAATATCACAAAGTATGGATTCTCCGGAGAGATTCCCCTCACAGCTAGAGCGTGATAGACCATGGTGAAGAAAACCCAGGCAAACAAATAACTGAAAATCAGTCCGATCCAATGGAGATAGACCTGTAAGGGGGGTGGAGAGGATAGTTATACTTTGGAAGAAAAATTGCTCGGACATGGGCTGAAAGAAATTAACATTACTATCGGACTTCATGCACTGAAAACAGAAGGCCACCGTCACTTATTGGACTGAGAAGTAATTTCAGCTAGTTAGTTTCAAACCACAGAGCGAGGGTAAGTTGCACATTATTGTTCATCACTGACTCTAAGTGGTCATAGTTCTCCGGGACGCAACACGGTGATTACCATGCGACAATGNAACCTATCACGGTGTCCCTATTCAAGCAGGTAACATCTGCTGACATGACTGAGTTTATTGATAAAAGCCTTCACCATAAAGTTAAAATCGATCATTTTTGGTCGTTTCTGCTCTACATATGGCTGGACCGAAAGGGTTCTGCGAACCAGGCGACACTCAGGAGTACAGAGTGCGTGGCCTGACCAGTATAAGCAATGGAGTGCGATCGACTCGTTTGCCTCTTACCAGAGCCATCTAACCTTCCTCAACATTGCTGTTCCGATGTTCTCATCAGGTTCGAGCACTGTTTGGGAGGTACTTTTGGCTGAACATTGAAATTGTTCGCATCTTTAATGTGTCTCAATGCTCTGATTCTGAAGTATAAATCAGAAAGGGTAGCGCTACCGCGGTGTGTAGGAAATGTCGAGGGTTTATATGAGACTTACTGACCTTCTCGATGTGAAAAATGCTTTGATCCAGCGATGTAAACCTATGTCCCACGTCGACTGTCTGAAGTCCAAGCACGAAACGTTGTAAGTGTCAAGCGCGCAACAAATCTTGTTGTATAATTAGTTAAAAGGGTGTGAATTTCTTAGCCATCTGATCCAAGAAGAACACCATTGTCAGCGCATTCTACGTGTCTGCATGAATGCCTCGTGAGCATTTTGAAGCATCAAGGGATAAGCTTCGAAACACTGAGAAGGGAATGGTGAACGAAGAAAGCCTTGCCGCGAGAACTCAGAAACCTGTAAGTAACCGTGGGGCTGTCGTACATGATGTGACATGAGAATATGAAAGACACGTTTCATTGCCAGAGTCTCTGGGGGCCAACGAAGTCAAGATCAACACTGAATTCAACAAAAACGATCGGCACTGATCATGCGACCGAATAGCGCTGTTCTAGCATCTCTCTCCAAGTGAAGATATGAGCAGCGTATTTTAAGTGATCTAACTGGAGACACCCTAATTCGACTGTTCTGATGATCAACCAATATAGGCAGGACAATGTTACAGAGCATTTTAGATACCATGGCTAGCGGGCTAATGCCATGATAGTTTTCTCTTGCTGTTCTTACAAACATTTTGAACATTGGAAATGCCATGGACGAAACTCATACTCATTTCATATTTGTTCAACATAGCCTAAGGTAGGCATGTCATCAAGGTTTCGTTACCTGATTTGACGACAGCGGAAGGTGAGTCATCTAGGTCAGGTACCTTGATGAGTTGAACCTACGAAATTTGACGAAAGAAATTTTTTTGTTGACGGGGATTGGTTCCAATACCCTATTCGGACTCATGTGGACCTTACCGAGTTCAACCGATCGCTCAAGACAACAATTTTGGAAATCATTTGCAGGTGCACCCGTTTTATAGACCATTACACTGAAAACTAACTTTCTCTGGTCGGTTGACCGAATCAGCCGAAATAAGATGCGATTATTTCCTGCAACAAAGGACTTCATATCCTGGGTTTCCGGGAGCCCCAGCAACTGTTGTCAGTATTCGGCTAACGAGGAATCTACGTACTGATCGTCGGTTGTGCGAACACGGCACGATTTGATACAGGTTTCGTTAGGTCATAAGCCCGAGTAGATGGTTGCAACGAATGACACGACAAACTCTTCTTATCTTTTCCATTAGTGTGTCTGCGCGTTACCAACGTTTTCGAAGCAAGCTCAATTCAACATTATTGAGCTACACAAACCCTTTGAAGATGACTTTGTATTCGAACTGATAGGCATGCCTTTAGGATGTCACAATCACAATGAAGTTCCATACACCAGATGAAGAGGAGACCGTATGTCGATAATCCACGGTCATATGATCCAAATGAGTCCACGTTTGGTCAACCGTAGTTGCCTTCAGATAAAATGGTGTGAGCGCTTGTGCTCAAATCTCATTCTGACTAGGAAGAGATGACATTCGGCATACAACCAAAGATTCCTCCACCCATTAGTCGTGGGACATTAGCCCCAAAGGAGGCTTCAAATACATTTCGTTAAACCAAGGAACGTAGTACAAATCCACTCAGAGTGCGAAGCACTGCCAATGCTTTCGGAAAGCTGCATGGGAGCAACGATGTTGACAGAATAGATCGGGATTGTCAAAAAACAGATACTGAGTAGAAAGAAACAGATGGATACTAGAAATAAAAATAAAATTTTGCGGTGTGCATAGACGAACGATTTGCTTGGCGCTCACTTACCCATGTCCTAGTTTCCAATGCGGCATGGATCAACGCGCACAGTACCAAAATGTTCATCTGTAATACTCCGAAGCGCCATAAAGTCATGGTATTGTCCGCATGAAATAAGTAAGGTATAAAAAAGATGATCAGGGACTGCCACACAGCATCGAGGATGTTGATCCAAAACAACCACGGGCGATAGGCCTGGAGAGAAAACACGGAGGATATTGCGACGGATGAGCAAGAAAGAAACGACTTGGAACGCACAAAGAAACTCGTCGTGTTCGGATGGAAAGCGAAGTAATTTGGACCAAGGGTTGACTGGTTTCACCAGCGACCATAGCGCTTTTCGTGTGAAAGGAAGACCGTGCAAGATTCCCGTAATCACACCCAGAGCCCAAGTACACTAAGATGAGTTCCAAATTTAAAGGCTAACCTCGGCATCTAGGCTGCTCTGGTTTAGGTCTGAATGGCCTGGCAGTACCTTAATCCTCGAACTTCTTTCGTGTGGCACCCGCGTATCAAAAGGATGTTACAGCTGAACGATCAGGTGACGAAATGGTTCAGGGGTTAAAGGGAGAATCTACTGACTGGAAGGTCCGTGGTTCGACTCTGACCCTGCTTCTCAACTCCCCCTGTCTAGGCTTGGGCAACCTGACAATATCTCAGCCCTTGTGCTTCCTTTGAGTGGCGTGGCAGCTAGGCACCAAAATGGTATTGCAGCTGTATTATTATTACTACTATTAAGATTAGGGTGAATGCTTATGGTCATATAAAGTTGGGATACATTCACAAAAGTACAACTCGCAACAAAGAGTAAAACGATGAACACCGGTCTCGAAGAGCTTCATCATGTCAGTTTCGTTTCAAATAGGATTAAACCTGATAAACTATAACCACATACAGTCATCTCATGTTACTCAACGCCAGTAACATGTGTGAACTTGGCAAAAAACTGCAGCAACCTGATTCCATTATCTTTGAAGACCAAAGGAACAACATCACGAATGCAGTGAAACGTTGAACACTAATCGTCAGATTATAGGCTGGTTACTCGGCACAGTAGGGAAAAGAAACTGTCTGAAATCCAGGCAGATGGAGTGCAGGAGTGCAAAGACTTTCTAAGCTAATCTAGCCCGTCCAACCTGATGCCTTTGCGCCATTACAGAACACACAAAAAATTCACCCACAAGATCCAACATCCGATCTGTCTGTGAAATAAAAACTGGTCATGCTAAATCCACATCAGATTTACGGTCGCTTGATGCAAAATTCTGTGACATGTATTTGACAAATTTGTTGAACAACGCGACTCCCGGTGACAATAAAACATGTCAGTCTATAAGGGTTAGAATTTGATAAATAAGCGAATCAAATGGTCCGGTCGGGAGGGTAGCCATTGGATAATCCAAACTGTATACAAATCGCTACGATCTGCTGGGACGCACAGAAAAAATGTGATGACCAGGGACACGTATTCAACCGAAAACCCCCCGCAACCTGAGTCTCTACTATGCCCACCAGTTCCAAGAATCCACATGGAGCACTGCCACCCCAAAGCCATACCTAGAAACAAAATGATCTGATGGATATCAGCGACTAAGTGGTTGCCTGCTCTTTTTCTCTAACACAGATCAGTGACGCCCCAGCGTCAAGCCAACTAAAATTTTTAAAAGATGCCTTGACAGGAATCTCGAAGGATCAGTAAAAGTATAACGGGGAGTTGATGTGAAGTAAAAATGTCCCGAGGAGAGGGGTATAAAACGCCTCGGGGTAGATACAGGTCTACCTTAACATCAGGTCATCGTCAGATGTCTGTGTCAGAACGCGTCCAGACATGGGAAAATTACATGTGCAGAGAGTGACGTATCTCCAAGGTCACCGTCGGTACGACACGTTCGGAAAGCAAGCGCGTTGTTGGAGCTAACCGAACACGGTTTAGCAACATAAGACCAGTGGAGTGGGGCTGAAATTGCTCACGACTCAAATACCGCCATTGGTTGTACAGAACGAACAAGTGAACGACCACATTTGGCCATTTAGTCATCCTATATATTTACGCAGAAGCTCTGTATGTTTTGCCGTGACAATAAAGCCATGTCCCGAATTCTCTGTCCTCTTATCACGTAGTCCGGCAGGCTCAGTGCAGGCGTAACTAATAGACGGCCACCCAAGACACAAGTCTGTCGCGGGATTTTAAGTTTCCCACCAGTTCATCTAAAGCACTGTATCCGGGATGTCTTAGCACGAGAGGGGTTCAGACGTAGAAAGTGCCGAACACTATCCGTGGATAACCACCCACAACCGCTACCATTACTTAGTTCACAAACCTGTGGAGCTGCGTTCAAGGTTTCCTATGCACATGTAAGATCGGTTGCGACCTTATTAGCACTAGAAGAATTGAAAATACCACCCAAATACAACAAATCACCCTCAATTCTGACCATTCTGGCAATAAACTGAAGTAGCATGAGTTATATCGTATTTGACAAAGGATTTCAGGCTTTCTGAAGTATGTGAGGGAGCCATTTGTACTGGTTGCAGCTAGAAGCGGTTCATACATGAGGCTTTTTGGAAAACACTTGTTCCGTTGTTAAGAGGTTGTCAGAAGAGGTTGAAACTACATGTGTTGAGTATAGAAAAATGTTAAATATGAGACAAAACTGACCTCGCTACTAAAAACATCTAAGGATCCCACGATAAAGCATGTCCGAATCCACGAGATTAGCTTCGTTGAAATAAACTAGGGGAAAAACACAGAAACCCGGTCATGCTAGGGTTGCCGTGCTTGCAAAACAAAGCCTTAAATGATCACGGAGACCTAGGGAAATCATCAGTGCGCGGTTGAGTGGGCACCTTCTCCTGCATGTAGTTATATAGTTAACTGATGATTTCTCCTCGTATGGTGAAGAAACGTTTGCAAGTCAAGAGCCAAGCTCGTTGAACAGATCTCTCACTGTGATTGGTTGGTTGAGGAACAACTTTACCCTAATTTTATTGGGTTGTTTACGATTTGTGTTGCATTTTGGTCCGTATTCATTGCACTCGAATGGGTCGTTGAACAGCTTTTCTTTCGGTAGATTTTATCACAGTGCCGAACGCTCTGTTGACAAACCATGCTGTGTTGTAGTCTATCTTTCTCCGATACGACTGGTGGTCCTTCTATTTCATGTTGAAAGATTTCCCATCATATGCGGTTTAGAAAGCGATGTCTTCGAGTGAATTTGACGTTTCTTTGCACTGTTCATCGATTGGACACCGGCATCTAGAGAGGTGTCATGTTTAAAATGTCCGCGAGATGTCGTTATCCGGGGACAGCTCACACCAACTTCCCTGGTACACAATGGCTCGCCTTTAGACGTTCAAATCGGTCGTGAAAAAGGGGCAGTGCAAAAATCCCCTTATGGAAAATGGATACGAGATATCTCCTGGGCCATGCGGTTCAATAAACCTGCTTTACTTGAAGCTGGCACATACAACCACACCTATGCTGAATTTGTTCGAAAAAGGTTAGTGGGACAGAGAGCTTGAGTGTATGTGGTAGGGAATGAAACGGGCGACGGTACGCAACGAAGATGTCAAGTTATCGGATTGCAACTGCTCCATCTATATGGAGATATATATATATGAAGATATATACGAGAAACTTGGTACGCCCTTTATAAACAACTGGAGAAGCTGTGATCCAACGGTCTAGCACCCTCAGTTTTTGCTCGTAAACAGTCTGCGAAATTTAACCTAACCGTTGCCATTGGTGCGTGAATCTCGAGGGCGGTCAGCCATCCATGCTACTCACTCGAAGCAAACAAGACATGGCGTTTTCCCTATTGGTTCTTCTGACGAATTTACAAACCAGGTCGACCATCGTTAACCAACTGCACTGGTGTGGGAACCGAGTTGTTCTGGTCATCAGAGTGAACCAGCCCACTGCGAATCTGAACTTGAAGACCCAGACCTTTGGGTCGGCTTCCGGAATATATTACCGCACGTCGCATTTTCGCACGAATGCGCACACTTACGCATCCACATCATGTTACGCGCCGTTGCCAGGGTAACAACCGACTTTGCGCTTTTCTTAAGCATGTCGATGTGTTACAGGCGAGTGCAAACCATTCAAGTGTCCTATACCCTGGACAGGACAACAAACCGGTGCAACAGAGTCAGGCGATCAAGAGTGCACGTTGAATCCGACCGCCTCACGGATATCGTATAGACAAGCTTGTTGAACTGGAAGAAGCAGAATGTGGACTTAGCGATAAACGTGCACGGAAAACACGGAAGCCGACGCAAGCTCACCAACCGAACGATCTTTTGAATATCGGTGCCCTTCACGTGCACTCAGGACGTGGCACCGAACTGCTGGTTTCGGCTATGTTATGGATAGAAAAGAAAGATTCAAGCTGAACCTAAGGTTGACGAAAACTCGGGGACTGCGCCTGCCTGATGAGCCCCAAGACGGACAAAACCGGTCGTGGGCTGTCGAAGAGTTTTCAGCAACCTTGTGAGTGGTTTCCTTTATGAAGGAAAGATTCACTTCAAGCTTCAGACGCTTGAAAGAAGCATGAGTCAAACAACATTGTCGATTGCAGTTGCGGCGGAAAGTATGGAGTATACCGTGGTAACAAACTTGAGCGTATCATTTTAAGGTACTCCAAAAGGCCTCAAATGAAGTTTTCTAAATTCGGAGAATAAATAACAGCCGATGATGAAAGAGCTGATACTCAACTTTAGCGACGAAAATTTGACAAACTGTTTGCTCCTTTTTGCGAACTTTAAGGTTCGTTGTGATGCAATCGAATGAGTAACAAAAAGCGTGCAGAATACGTCTTCAGTATTTGCATAGGCTTTTGTAACGTCATTGGATTCAGAACACAGCTGAAAGGGAAAAATGGAGGTTCGGCTGACAGCCATTAACGACTCTATTCCAAAACGGCTTGTTGCTACCAGACAAGCCAGGTGGTGAGTGACACAAGGGATGTCGAAAAAATGAAACCACAGCGAGGGCCTAAAGCAAATAGATGGCTCTCCACTTGACAGGAGGAATATGGAGAAGAGCTTGCTTAAACATTCAAGCGTATTAGTGCGAACATGCACTTTGAAATGTGACACTTCAAGACTACTCAACTGACCAGGAGACGCCAACCTGAGCTACATCATAGATCCTCTTCCTTAACGAGCAGTGAAGGCCCACTGGGCTGATTTGA